AATCTCCCAAAAATTGAAAGTAGAAACCCCAAACTAAACACTAGAAAAAAGGGAGGGAAACATGTAATGTGAGGAACTTGAAACGAATCAAATTTAACTTCATCAAATCTATTCATCATCAATGAACAGATATCATAACTTCATCAAAAAACCAGAATCTAAAACCTCCCAAAATCCACAAAAGAAGAAACATCCGAGCAAGTTGATTAAAAAAGACCACCTTTGTGAAAGCAGAGCAATAACAAGTAAAGGAGGAACGATCTTCATCATCAAAGCTTTATCCAAAAACTTCCATATAATCGGGATATTATTATCCCAACAAATGTAGTTAACCAGCACGTGGGCAAGATCAGTTGAAGGCAAAGCGACTCCAGATGAACTCAAACTGGAAGACACTTGTAAAGCCCAAAACAACGGATCGGTGCCCTTCTCTTTCGCCACCTTTGTCTGTTCTATGACCTCTTCCCATAGCCTGCTGCTTTGCAAGCTCAACTCCATTGGTCTAAAGCTCCACAGCAAGCAGCCACCTTTGTTTCCCTTTCTCGTTTTGCAATGAAAAATGACAAAAAGAAATCACATTTATGAGGGAAAAAATTGCTGGGAATTTGCCAGTGTGAGGCTTCAAACGGAGACCCTTCTTTTGTTTATGGTTTTTGGAGTTATTTTATCGTCTTTTTTGGGTCTTTTTTAATATAAAAAAATGGGATTTTGGGAAATAAATTTGACATAAATGGAGAAAACTAAACGATGGAAAAAAATGGAGAAGGAAGGCGGCCAGCGGAGCAGCGGTCAGTTTAGATAAGAACATTTCTTTGATCCAAAACATGAATTTTATACATAAAAAATCACTAATAATTTATTTTTGTGTATAAGAGTTGATTACAATTATAAAATTTTATTAATTATAATTTCATTCGGATCATATCACATTATATTTTTTAAGTCGACTACATATTATTTAATCAAGTGATCTATGTAATAAAAGAATTATCGATCTTCCTCGAGGAATCAAGTTCGAGCACAAAAAATATCAAAGGTGTGAGCGATCAATTCGAAGAGATCTTTGAATAGATATTACTTTATACTTACCCTAATAAAAACTTGGTAACATAATATAATTTGAATAAAGAATAATATTATATTTTATAACCTTATCTCAACCTTAAACATAAATTTATTAATAAATTTATTAATAAATTGAGGAAAGGCAATGGGAGGGTTTGGTTGGAATGGATTATTAATAAATTTTATCTATTAATAATGTTAAATTTTAAGTAATGATTTATAATTACCTTCGACATTCTTAATGTTTAAATTCGATACCATAAATAATAGTAATAATTCATTTATCGTTAAGATAATACGGTTTTAGTGATGATTTGTTAAATGAATGATATTTGTTTATTATGCAAAAATTGAATTTAAGAAATCATGGAGACTCCACAAACCTATAGGACCCCACAACTCACCAAACCCATAGGAACACCAAAAATAACTCTTTACTAATACAATGTTTTTGAGACAAATGTACTTTAAATCCCCAAAATCAATCCCACCTTTATAAAGTAAATGTATGTATGCATACTTCAACCTTACTCCAGCATGTTGTCATTTTCAATGCAGGGAATTTGGTAATTAATTGAATTATATATATATATATATATATATATAGTGGTTAGGGTAGGTGAAGATGATGACAGGGATGAGAATTGGACCCCAATTCCCACTCCTTAAGTGATAATCATGACATGGGCATATATCAACAGCAGGAAAAGGATGTGGAAGGTGGGAATGGAAAACCCTTTTTTTTTTAATTTATCATTATTTATATTAAAATAATATATATATATATATATGGGGTAAAATATAAAAATATCGTCTAACTATATGATATTGTTTTGTTGAGTCTGTTGGCTATTAAAAGTTTTAAAATGGTTGACTAAAATCTCAAACTATTATCATATCTTAACCGGCATATTAATGTTTAGTTAAGACGACTGTTGATTTTTAATAGAAAAAGAAGAGTTTGGAATATATGAATAGTTGAGTGATCTTTTTATAACTTTTAATAGTCGAGTTGCTTAATAAAACAACACCCTATAGTTAAAAGATCGTTTTATAATTTTTAATAATCAAATGACTCAACAAAATAATTATCGATAAATTAGAGATCGTCAATGTACTTTACCCTATAGTATAATATAATTGTATATTTATTTTGTGTTTATGTGATGTTTTGATTCCACGATAAAAGGTGGTAGGTAAAGCTCAAGTGGGATTGGCTTTATCTGTTAGAGCTTATTAGTTAGGGGAAAATGATTTGTTGGGGCCACACAGCATTATCCCATGCCTCAACAAATATGGTTCAACTCCCTCCACCACCACCCTACAACTCGAATTGACCATGAACCCTGAACTCTAATTAATCATTAACTTTAAATTCTAAACTTTAAACCTTAAATTTATAATTTGAATTGACTCGAATCACATCGAACTCATACAGTTGAGGTCACATCTCATTATTTTGAGTCTCAACAAATATGGTTCAATTCCTGTTGGTCTCAGAACTCGAATTGATCCGATCTAGATCAATTCGACCTAAACCTCATTTGTCACATCCTATAGACTTTGATCTGGTTTGGTTTGTCAGCATGGTATCATATGATTCCCTAGAGATGAAGATATAGTAATCGTTTAAATGAAGAAATCTGACTTTGCCACGTTTCTACATGCGATTTCCCAGAAGATTAATCAAATAATATAATGAATGCATGTTTAATGCCAGAAATCATCTGCCAGGTGCCAACAGATCATCTGCTAAACCACCTGGATGTGATGATGCTGAATGAATGGACCATTTCACCCAACTTTAGAATATGTTGCATTTACAGCCATCACCCAATTAAGAGTTGGATGGCTGTAAATGCAACATATTCTAAAGTTGGGTGAAATGGTCCATCCATTCAGCATCATCACATCCACGGATCAGTTTACCTCGGTAGTTAAAGAATCATTATTATTCTTAGATGTCATGGGTTCGAACACCATCGACTATAAGAGTGATTGAGCGTTCATTGTCAAATGGTTGAGAGTAACATAAAACAGATATTATTTTGTAATAACTACTAAAATAACACCTATTATAGCCGTAATCATAATAAATGCAACGGAACTTAATATGTGATCACAACCACAACTTAAATCCCTAATAAGATACTTTATATGTATATATATTATCCTAAATCGATGATGATCCAATATGATATTTCACTCGATCTGACTTATCATAGATCCGAATCAAATTCAAATTAGATTTAATCATGAATCAAACCTACACCAATGCGGCAAAGCAAAGCAACCATAATTGGAAACAGTCAGTTTATGATGATGAAAGGCAGTAGGATTAAAAAGTAAATCACTTCTCTTTGCTCATCAGCTGTCAAAGCTCCAACCTGCATGCACTTAAAAGCATTAGATAAGGAACATTCAACATGCATCCAAAAATGATTGTTGCAGTCACACAGCTAAGCTTGACGATAAACCATCCATGATAACCAAAACACAAAAAAGTCAAATGACTTTACAACCCCCTGTAACACAAATTTCCTCCCTATATTTATTATGGTGATGTTAGCAGGGAAGACTTCAATGAACACTCACATTTCACATACATGCCTGATCTCCAAAAGCAAGAATCATTCAAAGCAAAAAGTTTGGAAAGTGGACAAAATAGGGTAGAAAGAATGCCACAGGCAAAGGGGTATACGTGTCTTAAGTTGATGTGATGTGGAAGAGTCGACATTGTGGACGTCAGCTTAAAGAAAATGTAGCAATCAGCATAACTTAAAACCACTGTAAAGATGCAGCAATATGGCCATTAATACTTACTGTAAAAGATATAAATTCCATCCGATCAAAGGGATTTTCCACGTTGTACTTTCTTTGACAGCCCCATGCAACCTGTAAATAAATGGATTAAGAAACAAATTATAAGTTCTATGGAATATATAATAATGCGTATATCGGTGTAAATCCCTCAGCAAATGAAGTGGAACTGCATACAGCAACACAAAGAATCCTTTTAAAGAAAGAGAGGTACTGCTTTGATTAGTTTAAAGTGTAAATCAACTTGACAACCACAATGATGCCGGCCAAACAAAGTCCATCCATTCAATGGTACAGAAAGGGCCAAATGCTACTGAACTCAATATTTGATAAATAAATCGGTGTAAATTGTGATATAAAGTAAAGAGCTGCAAACATATATGCATCAGTTTTCCAACTCAAGTTCTATCATATTTAGGCTGGAAGTTCTGCAATAAGGAATCAAACAGGTGAAATGTTCAATACAAGTTAGAAAAACCTTCATAAAAATGCTCAACCGAGCTTTTAGTCCTATGCGTTGGGAATTCTTTAATCAAATTGCTTATTTGGCTTCAAATAATAACTCTCCAAAGAGCAGGACTAGAAAATAATACCTCTGAATCCAATCCATAGCCCATTTAGCCTTCTTACCAGTACGAGTCTAATACTAAATTTCTCCATGTTTCTGGGTGGTCCGTAAAGGATTATGTTCACATGCTTTTGTCCAAAAATGTGCCGGATATATGTACGTCAAGCGAAACATGCACCAATACTGTTTCCTTTAGCCTGAGATGTTCCTTAATGAATTTCAGCCTATCCATTGTTATGGTATATCTATCATAAACTTTCTGATGAACACATTATGCTTTTATTCTTCTGTAGCCTTGCCAATAGGAGAATATGCAGCAATAGCTCTTCTGATGTTCTTTGGCTTAAAGTCCATGAAAGATGCATGGGACCTTCCACCAGCAGTTGCAAAGAAAGGTACTGAGAGAGGCCCCGAACCTGATGAGTTTGTCGAAGCCGAGGAACTCGTGAAAGAACAGGTAATCAGTTGGTTTAACGTGTCTTATTTTATCACAAGAAAAAGGAGGGGGGGGGGAAGTTAATAGACTTACTTTTACTTTATGCAGACATCAAAAAAAGTCTCGAATCCACTTGAAATTCTCTGGAAGTCGTTCAGCCTTGTATTCTTTGCCGTAAGCATCTCATTATCCTATTTAAAAGCAAAATTATCATCCATAAAAGACGATATCGGCTGTTCTTTTTGGTTGCTTTCAATTACTCTCAATGAATAACGTCACGATAATTCCCAGGAATGGGGAGACAGATCAATGCTTGCAGCAATCGCACTCGGTGCTGCACAGGTGCAACTTTGCTAACTTCATTCCTCATTTTATACAGGAATTAATTCGCAATGGTTAAATAGTTGTTGCTACTGTCTAACAGTCACAGTGGGGTGTGGCAAGTGGAGCCATCGCTGGACACCTACTTGCGACATCGATTGCAATTGTTGGAAGAGCATTTCTTGCTAACTATATTTCTGAGAAGCTGGTAAGACTGAATATTTGTCTTTTGCTAGTACTACTCGTAGTATGACATATCCAGATACCTGTTTTTCGACTTACCATATAATCACCGTGTGCTAGATCAGGTTGGTTATTTGGGCAGAGTGCTCCATCAGGTTGGTTATTTGGGCGGAGTGCTCTTTCTCGTTTTTGCCGTGGCTACATTTTTTGGAGTTTTCTTATTGATTATACAGAGGAGCATATAGGGAGAGATGGGCAAGTTTCCGGCACAATCGGTGCCATGCACCTGCCCGGAAAATTGTTCCAGTGGGGCTATTAAGAGGCTGCCATGTTAGTTCTTAGAAGCATCCTTGCTACAATCGAAGAAGGGGTTATCATTATATTAGAACCATGTGATTCTTGTGTAGTTTTTAGGTAATATTGGAGCCATAATGGACATGTTTTTGCTACACTTCTCTCCTTTTATGTTCTCTGCATTAGACTTGGAATAAAAACTTTGAATATTTCATAGACACTACATTCCAAGCTGACAAACAAATTGTCAAGAGTTGAATAACAAATGAATCTTGATTTACTTTACAACCATCATGGTACAACTAGGTGCTCAATAAAAGTTTACTCCGAAAATATTGCGAAGACCGTGTTAAGAGAGATCAGCATCAATAACGTATTGATTCCTCAATTTCAAGCATCTTCATGTTGATTGATCCATTTGTTCATTCATCTACACATTGCTGGGATAGATACTTGTCGTCTGAAAGTAATTTGACCATTCGTTTTTCGAGCCTTTTTGCTCCTGGACCAGGCCTCAGGATATCGGCATCCCCCCAAACTGAACATGTGTCATTGCCCTCACCTAAGCACCATCCACCTGGTACAACTTCTCCAGGGCCGCGTTTCAAAATTTCTTGATCGATCCGATCAAGTACTGGACTGTTAAATTGGAACTGTGCTGCAAATGCAGCTCCACTCTGAATCATAGCATCAAATTCTTCAGGCTTCATAGGGGGAGGCTTCTTTGAAAAGGTTTTGTTGAAGGCTACATACTGTAGGTCATGGTTTATCACAGTGTTCTTGAACCGGTCAGAGTTACAGAGGATGGTAGGGAAATAATTGGCGTGGGAATAAAGCATATTGGCAAAATACATCAGCAAAGTCCTAGGAAGATTGTTGGTACCAAGGATGCAGGACTCAACGAAACTTCGGGTTAACATCGTAAATGATGAACCTGCAAAAGAATTGACCGCTAGTTTTAGGTCACGATTTTTTTTATAGTGCTTGGCAATGCAGGAAGAAAACTTTCTCAGCAAAAAATAAAAAAGATTTGAAATATCTTTGCATGATTGCAACAGTTATACATACATAGTTAATAAAGAAAATGATCCCCAGAAAGCTAACTGAAAATTAAAAAGCAATTGGCCGGACATCTATACTTGGTACAAGACGGAAACTAATTAAACTATTGGCACAATGAGGAACTTTAAGCTCTAGCATATGTTCGACATCGGCATTCCATCGATAGAGACATTCTCCTACAACATTCTCATAATATCTTTCACAATTTTTATCAACTCAGTTATGACTTACGAGGTGAGGTGATAGCAAAGCTTCCTTTTAAGGCAAAAAAGATCAATACTAGTTGTAACTAGCTCGTTCCTAGTAAATGCATGGAACCTATTTTTCTCCTCACTTTCTTTTAAGATTAGCCAAGCAAATTACAATTCAGAATTGGAAGTTTCAAACCACAAGGATGTCTTTGGATGTGACATGTAACATACTAACATCGACTAATCCAAAAGAACTGTAAGATTTAATGGCCAACGCTGATCAAAGGGGTAAATTGACGAATTTTCAAAGTATAAGGGCTTAATTGAGTGCAAAACATTAGTGAGTAAATAGCACACAAGACCATTCACCTGTGGATCCATCCTCATTCCTCACAATTCTGCAGATACAGACAAAACTGCCTAACTATATGCACTTAGCTCAGGTCACACTATAAAAATCAGGAGGCCTATGATTGAAGAGCAATCTAAATTCATATAAGAATAAGGAGATTCTGAACACATATGCTCTTGTTTCCTCTTCTTATTTTTAGTTAAATGCACTCAGTTGTATGTCGAATTGCTAACCGCAGTGTCAAAGTATGCTCCTCAACTTGCAAGAAGAATGAAAACAACTAGCTTATACCAGATGAATTGATGTTCGTTGCATCTCCTACAAGCCTATAATTAGATGAATACTTATAAGAACAGATGCAGGTGAAGTAAAAGTCGGTTTCAAACTGATTGGTCTAACAGAGTTGCATGCTCCAGATACGAAATTCTTATTGCACCTCTAAGAGGTAAAATAAAGATTCTGAACCTATGTAGTATAGTATCATGCACTCAATAATTCTAATTCCTTCAAGAAATAGCACAATGATGACAGCATTCACCCAAACTATGCAAACTTATGATCTTACAGAAATATATAAACCTATATATTTAAGCCCAATCCTTAATCAACTCCGCATTTGTAGGTCCACCACTCTAAAATTATGCTTTATTTTTTAGTTTATTGGTATCAGGAGCTACAGTAGTAAAGAATGCACTCAATATGCATACATTTCACATCTGCTCCAACGGTTAGCGATGCCGATCGTCCTTAAACACGATTAAAAGAATGATAAAAGGGGAAGTAACCAAAAGCTAAAACAAAAACAAGTCATACACAAACACATACCTGTAAACAACCTGAAAGCATTTGGCAATTCCCGCTTCTGAGTAGCATAAAATATCTCTTCCTTTTCCAAAAGATAAAGCCCCGTATCAACGATTATCGGCTTCAATCGCTTCGACCTTAATAAGTAAAAAACCGAATGCACAAAACTAATATTAGTCAACATTCACCTTAAATCACATCAATTCAATAAAAATAAACTGTTTAAAAAAAAGTAAACAGTTGGAACTGGTTGTTGCTTTTGCTACATTCACCTTAAATCACATCAATTCAATAAAAATAAACTGTTTAAAAAAAAGCAAACTGTTGGAACTGGTTGTTGCTTTTGCTATAGAGTTGATGTTATAGGCAGCAAAACAATAATTAGATTTTAAAAATTGAACAAATGAGTGAACTAAAACTACAATTCTGACAAAGAACCACATCACTTTTGCATCCAAACGTGCAATTTGCGAAAGTAGTGAAATAGAAATGAAGTTAACATACTCTTTCCAGCCAATGTAACTTGTGTGATTCACAAAGTTGAAATCTTTCGGCAAGTAAGACAAAATGTGAAGAAGATCTGCAAAATTCAACAAATACCCACAAAAGAAAATCAACCAAAAAACCAAAACCCAGCGACTCAAATCCAAAAAAGAAAAAGAAAAAAATCTTTAATTACCATCTTGAGTAGCAAGCGGGTAATCACCGGCATTGAGGGAGATAAACCAATCCCAATTAGAAGCTAACCGTAGCAAAATGGAGGCACCGTGAAGAGTAGAAGAGATTGAGGATGGCCCTCTCGGGTAAGCATAATCTGATTTCCCAATAACGTCGACGTTTTTGGCAGCTTTAAATATGGGTACTGTTTGTACCGTGATGGCCAATCGGTCACGCTCCGTCTGCGTAGCAGACAGATCAAGATGAAGGAGGTAATGGTTTTTCGGGTGATATGAAGCGAAGAGTAGCCGGAGAATCCGAGCCGCGTCGCCGGAGGAACCCGATATGAAGTAAGCAATGGAAGGAGGGGTGGGTGCGGAGGAGATCCCGGTTTGGGATATGGGTCGGTTCGGGAAGAGAGCAGAATCGGGTCGGGTTGCGATTAGGGCTCGGGAGGAGGTAGTGGAAGGGAGGGAGAGGATAAAGAGGAGGGAAAAGATGGCGGTGAATAATATTATGTAAAGAGTGGGTTTGGTGTTGTCTTTTGAGGTGGTGGTTGTCGCGGTGGCGTTAGAGGTATATGGAAGTGTCATCGGCGGCGGTTGGTGTTTGTTATTGTGCATGGTGGTGGTGGTGGTGCTGGAGAAGGAGGAGGTTTTTGAAATTAACAGGTGTTTTTTTCTGTGGGGGGGGGGGGTTAGATGGGTTAAGTTTATTATTTATCATTGTAAGAGAAAACAACTATGTTAAATTACACTCATAAAGTGAATTCAATCATAAAATAATAATAATTATTATTATTATTATTATTGAGATTTTAAGTTCGAATATCATAAATATTATATATAAATATTTAATTTTATATAATTAAAAATTATATTTAAATATATATTATTTTATATTTACTTTATATTAATAAAAAATGATAAAGTATATCAAATACTATCAATATATTATTTGATGTACATTACCCTAAAATAAATAAGTACGTTAAATAATGAGTTTGTTTCAAGATTTATTTTATGTTTTTTTAATTTAATATAATTTTTAATAATTATATGTAAGTATAAGATAATATTAACGTACATAAATTTGATATACATAATCTTTGAATTAAAAACTTTTAAAAAAATAATTTTTAATCACTAAAATTATTTTATTCCTATAATTTAATATAATTTTTATTATGATGTTATTTTTAAAATTGGTAAATTAAAAACTTTCAACCTTCAAATTGCTTGAACACCGAGGAGTACTCCAAAAGGTATGCTTCAAGATACTTGTGCACAAAGTAATTGGTTTTTAAAAAATAATTTCCTTATTTTTCAATATTTGGTTGACGAAAAACAGATGTTCAATGCAATTCATATTTTTGGTCAACTGAATTTTCTTTACATTTTATGAAAAATGACTTACATTCTGATTTTTCGTAAGTAATTTTATAAACTTTTCACTTTAAAGCATAAACACTCAAAATATTATTATTTTATATATTTAATAATAATAGATTATTTTAGTATCATTTTAATAAAAATACTAATTATTATATTATATTTATTGATAATTTTAATAATATTATGTTATATTTTTATTGTTATAATTACACTATTATAATATATAATATTTCACTTTTATTTTAATAATATATAATAAAATTAATAATATTTATTAGTTTCATGAAAATAATATTATTGAATTGTTTAATATTTAAAATATACTCCTTAAAATATAATATAATATTTTGATTTTAATATTAATATTATTAATATCTTATTAATATTATTTTTAATAAGTAATTAATATAATTAATAACATATTATTCTTATTTTCATAAATAAGTAATATAATTTATAATAATTTTGTTTTAATAATATATAATAATCTTAATATTTTTATTTATAAAATTGTAGATATAATATTTAAATAATACTTTTGTCATAAATAATAATAAATAAAGTATTTGAGTATTTATTGAGCCTTGACCGAGTCGATCTCGAGTAGCTTGCAATCTGTCTTGTCTCATTTACAGTCCTAGTTCGAACTGTTGGTTTAAAATCTATAATTATGGGCACATATTTATAATGTATATTGTTATCATAAAATATTATATAAATTAAGTGACCAATTAAGTTATATAGTTATAAGGTATTAGAAGTGTCATGGAAATAAAAAAATGTAGATACTATTAAAGTTGTATTTATAATTCAATGAGGGGCAAAGTTATAAGTACAAACAATAATTAATTCTTAAATCAGCTATATAAAGGGGTTATGGTCCTCAAGAAATAGACAATCTCGTATTTTTCTCTTATCCTTGTCAGAGAGTTAATACAAAAGGGAATTCTATCTTCTTGGAAGATCACATCAAAACAATAATTGAATTTACGGTCGAGTTATATAATTGAAGTCAAAATTAGAGGCTAATGTTAAAATTAAAACAATTGAAAATTTAATGATATAATCGTTACACATACTAAAGTTCAAAGATATCTGCTGTAATAGATCCTAAAATAACACTATAAGGCTAAATATGTCATTTGGATGAGAGTGAGTAACCCAAATTCATCTTCTAGGGCTTTTGGTTCGTTAGAGCAGTGGCGGGAACATACCAGTGAAATTTCCCATCAAAAATTCAATTGCGGAACCCTAAGTTCCTAAAATGTCCTTCTTCATCGATGAATTTCAAGCAGGTTACTTCTCCCTTCTCAATTTCTTTGACATTTTGTCTCTATCTCTTATATTCTAGACTCGAGAGGAAAAAAGGAACCCTAATTGAAGGTTATATGCTATGATTATGGCATGCTAATTAAATTTTCATTTTTGGTATTGTTGTTTATTGAAATTTTACAGATTTAGAAGCTCTGCCCAATATTCTTCAGAAGAAGTATGCGTTGATGCGTGATCTTGACAAAAGTTTGCAAGGTATTCTTTTTAGCTTTAAATTTTCAACTGTTTGGGGTTTATTTGAAGTTTTAATAAGTTTAATGCGTTAACTAGCTTATATGAAAAGAGAACTTCAAAGGTACTAAAATCAAAACCAATGAATGTAATTTAAGTGAAATCCCATTTCATTTGGTTGGAAAATACAACCTTTTTTGTTGGTTAATATGAGCAGAAATTGTGAGGCAAAATGAACAACGTTGTGAACAAGAAATAGAGGATATAAAACGAGGAGTAAGGGCAGGAAACAGTACACCGGATACTTCGCTTATTAGATTCTCCGATGAGGCACTCGATGAACAAAAGCATAGCATTAGGATTGCGGATGAAAAGGTTGCCTTGGCAATTCAGGCATATGATTTGGTGCGTTTGTTTGTTTGTTTTTTCTTCTCGGGAGCTGTTTGATCCGTGCACTTTTTATCTGATTCATATGCCATGGTTATGATCGAGATTTTTAATTGCTTTTTGGTTATTGGTTAGAGTTGCAGGTGTTCTAGGATGGTGTTTTAATGTAGAGAAGTGTAAATAGATTATGCTGTTAGATTCTTTTGTGGGGTTTATATAATCTTCTAAATGAATGTGTTTTTAGGGTAATAGTCTCGACTCTCCTGTTTTTGCTGTTTCCTCATCCTGCTGTGCTTCATCGACTATTGATCTAAGACTTATAAAAACAGAGACATATTAATAACACGGTGGATGGTTCTCTTATTCATGGAGAAAGTATTTGTATCATTTCTTTGCAGAAAGCTTTCGTGAAAGCAAAGTCGATTGGTGTTATTTCCGATACAGATTGCTCAATTGATACTGGCTTTAAGTTGGTCATTTTTGTTTTGAATCTTCCCATTTGTAACATAATGCATGGTAAGATTTCATAGCCGGACGGAACTTGGTTTCAACCCTTATGGTTTGTACCCCTGCTTGGTTTAATCATGTTTCAGGTTGATTCACATATACAGCAACTTGACCAGTACTTGAAAAAATCTGGTGAAGAGCTACGGCGTGGTATGTTGCTGATTTTCCTCTTCCACCACTATTTAACATGTCCTTTGTTCCATTAAGCCCCTCTTCTGTGACGCATTCTTGATTCATACCGTATTATGGTTTTTAGTGGAAAGAGAGAATACTGCTGCTACTGCACCTCCCCAAATTCCTGATGGTACCACTAAATCTGGCAGGTCCGAAAGCGGAAGAGGGCGTAAAAAGTATGCACCTATTATATATGAGCTCATTACAATTTCCTTTTATATTGTTCAATGGTCATCCATTTTGGTTTCCCGATTTAGATAAATCTCCCCTAACTTTGAACATTAATTCTATTAATCGAAAAATCAACTTCCTTCTGTAAGTTATATTAGATTCATGATATCATGTGTGTCGCATATTTCAGTAGAACACGACTGGCAACAGCAGCGGCTTCTTCTGCAGCAACGGCAGCAAATCCAACCGGTATGGAATTAGACTTGCCAGTGGATCCTAATGAGCCGACTTATTGTTTGTGCAACCAAGTTAGCTATGGCGAGATGGTGGCATGTGATAACCCTGATGTATGTAAACTGAGTTCCATATATATTTTTTCTTCAAGACTATTTTGGGTCCCAATCCCTAATTTTGATCTAATGTAACTTCCGCTCCTTTTAACAGTGCAAGATAGAGTGGTTCCACTTTGGCTGTGTTGGTCTGAAAGAACGGCCGAAAGGGAAATGGTATTGTCCGGATTGTGCAGCACTGAGAAATCGTCGTAAAGGAAGGTGATAATGATATATATATATAGGGAAGCTTGTGCTGGTGCAGCTAGCATTGCATAATCATGTTAACGTTTTCAAGCATCTTTGTTTGCATTTGGAACTTAAGTGTTCAACTATTTATAGCTACTTGGGTGCTTTTGTACCATTGTCTAAAAGCTTGTTGACTGAGACCCAGGTGTAAATGAGTTCTTTGTATCTTTTTAATGGAGAAAGAAAAAGATATGTTACAAAACTAGAAAATCGTAGTCCTATGGAAGCCAGCAGGGCCGTGGTTGGGTTTTCGGGGTCCTGTACAAATTCTTATAAAGGGGTCCCTATTTTCTAGATATATTCGATTTTAGGGCAACAATAGTAGTTTTTTTTTACAAACGTCGCGATAAATCCATCTATAATGGTGTTTTATCAGTAAAGCCACAATAATAGTGGCGTTTTTTTGAAAAACATCGCAATAGGTCGATCTATAGTGGCGTTTATTGAAAAAACGTAACTATATATATACTTTTTTGGGAGCCCTGCGCGGTAGCGCAGTCGCGCCGCCCCAGCCACGGCCATGGAAGCCAGATGTTAGTTTGAAATATGGGGTAATCTTTGCTTATATGTTGATTATCTTTGGAACAAATCTAGATTTTATTATTTTTTTGGGGGGGGTCAACTACACTCATGATTAGGGCTGAGCAATCAAATCGATAAATCGATCCGAATTATATTATGTGGTTCAATTGGTTTGGATTTTTCATTTTATGGTTTCGATTTTGGTTTGATTTAGACATTTAATTTATAATTTAGTTTGATCTCGATTTTCCGTATAAAATTCGTTTATATGCACTTAAATAAATAAATATATATATATATATATATATAATTTTATAACTAAGTTTTATTTTATTTTTTCTCTTTGAAATTTGAATTAAAAACAAAAACGAAAATAAATATGCTCCAATTCAAATTCATTTTGAATTTGTGATAAGCTGAACTTAAATTCATATATTTCTAAACTTAATTATATTATTTTTTATGAATTTTAAATTTGTGTGTTTATACTTGGCTTAAGCTTGGAATCTGTCTTCTTTTATATTGAGTTTAAAAATTATAAACAATTAAAAATCATAAAACCGAACTGAATTGAATCGAATAGAATTTAATCTAAAATTTTAATTTTTATATTATTTGATTGGTTTAATGCCCAAATAAGTATACAAACTATACTTTTTTTTGTCCAATAAGTGTCTACATTTTTTTTTGCTCATCTTGGTGCCTAACGTTATAAATATTAGCACTTTAGGTGTCTGGGGCTTCAATGGCGTTAGTTTTCTGATTAAGTGACACATGTCACAACATGGAAATTTTAAATTTTTTATATAAAATTAATATATATATATATATATATATATATATATATATATATTAAAAATAAAATACATAAATTTTGAAATAACCCTTGAAATTTATAAACCTTCATTTCAACCCCTAAACTCATGCCGACCGTCGTCCGACCAAAACCCCTATGAAATTGTGATCGATCAATGACAAATCGATGTTTTAAATCTCACGAATCATATGATGAAAATCGCAATCTCACGCAATTTCGATGGTGAATCAGCAACAACTACGACAACATATAACTAAGTCTTAGGATGATAGCAAAGACACGTTGACGGCGATGGTCGTGGTCGGAGAGGACATAGACAGTGAATTAAGTTTAAGATTTAGGATTTTTGGGTTATTTTATAATATAAGAAAAGTTAGGTTTTCTTTTATAAATATAAGAATATTTTTATTATATTTTTTTTGAAAAAATCAATTTCAAAAACTATCAAATTATGACACGTGTCATTTAACGGGAAAAACTAATGCTATTGACTACCCGGACACCTAAAGTGCTAACATTTGTAACGTTAGGCACCCGAATAAGCCAAAAAAAATATAAACACCTATGTGACACAAAAGATATAGTTTAGACACTTATTTGGATATTAAGCCTTTTCGATTTCAGCTTTATTTATTTTTAAAAAATAATATATAATTTGATTAATCTTTTATTAAAAAAACAGACCTAAATTGAATACAATCCTAATTTGCATGGTTGGAAACAAGGATGGACCAAGGTTCTTGCTCACCCATATAAATTTAAAATTATTATATATTTTAAATATTTTTTATACTTTGTTAATAAATTATTTTCCCCATAAAATTTTATAAATTTATCTTTAACATAAAATTTTAGAATAAAGTACACAAAAGGTCCATCGACTATAGAGTACTACTTTATTACGTCTCTTAACTATTAAAAGTTACAAAATGATCTTTCGACTATAGAGTGTTACTTTGTTGAGTATCTCGACTATTAAAAGTTATACAATGGTCACCCGATTATTCATTATATTCCAAATTCATCATTTTCAGTTAAAAAAATTGACGATATTTTGAGCTGAACATTAACCTGTTGACTGTGATATGATAAAATCTTATTCTATAATCTCAGACGACTATCATATTCCATTAATCATGTTAACTTTCAATTTCGAATATCGTTAATTTTTAACGAAAAATGACGAATTTGGAACATAATGAATAGTCAAGTGACTATTTTATAACTTTTAATAATCGAATGACTCAATAAAACACATTCTTTATTAAACGATCATTTTATAACTTTAAATAATTAATAAACTTAATAAAATAGTACTATATAATCAATCAGCCATTTATATACTTTCCGTCCTGATTTGAAATGAACTCGCCATACATTTGTAACACGTGTTTTCGTCTTTGTACGGCGTCGGTGCTCAGTGTATCTAGGAAATGGGGTTTCTTGAATCACGCGTCACTGTTTCGGGCCCACTCGCCTGCCTTTGCCTATTTCACCCCTCCTAATTTTGTTGACTTTTATTTCATCAATAATTTTTGGAAAAAAATAATAATTGAAAAAAAACCGTCTAAATTGTTAATTTTTAATCTTACAAGAATTTATATAAATAATTTAAATGAGTCTTTAGGTGAAAAAAATTGATATTTCTATTTTTTATTAAAAAAAATTCAACATACAATCTGTTAAGAGAATAAATTTTACTATTCGACATGAAACATTTCATATATTTTGATTTGAAAAAATATATATAATAAATGAGAAAATAATCGTTTATTAATAAAATAAAAAATAGATTATCATGAAGAAGTTTTTAATATATTTTTTTACAAAAATTACAATTATTTATCATTATAATAGTGATTTCTCATATTAACTAAAGATTTATAATTTATAATTTAAAATTTATTTTAGTAAATAAATATTAGATATTGGGAGGCGATCCTCTATCCCCTGCAATATTTTTGCCCCTCTCGAAGCATTAAGGAAAACTCGTCTTTAGAGATTCGAAGGTGGATGTAAGATTTTAATATCTAAAATATAAATTTTAAAAATTTATATTATAATACAAAATTTAAAAGATATAAAATTAATTAATTATTAAAATATATAAAATATTTAAATAAAAAAATTTAAAATTTAAAATTATTTATTTTAAATTAATGCGACTGTTATAGATACTTAATTTTTTATATAACCACCGATATCAAATCTATTGATCGACTAATTTAGATCGGGTACTATAGAGGCAAAGACGACCCTCCCAACTCAGTTTGCTCCATTCACAATCACCAAGATTTGAATCCTTAATTTTACTTAAGAGATTTAGTACCTCATCCTACTAGACAAACCGGTTGTTGGTATAGACACTTATTTAATTTACTCAATTATAATTTTTTTAAAATTAAATCATCGATAATTTAACTTTTTTTCGTAAACAAAATCCGTTAATTTATATATATAAAAAAGAAAATATTTAAAATTATAATGGAAATTTATAATAACAATAGAGGTAAATTAAATATATAATTAAAATATATTTCAATAAACATTAACATAAAAAAGTAGTCACTTGATATTATACAAAAATCATAAAAGAAAAATATTAAAAAATATATTAAAAAAACTAAAAATTCAAATAGATTTTATTGTTCACGTCAAATAAACCACAACAATGGATCAAATATATGAAAGATCAATAGCAATTAATTATAAATTAGAATCAAATGTCATAAGAAAAATATCTCTGAACGTAAATCACTAGTTCAAATCTAATTTAAGTGTTCAAAACAAAAGGTTATATTATTAACAAACAACATCAAATCTAACTACGGATGGGTAAGGGACCCGAATCTGATGGGTTTTGAACAAATCGAGTCCGGCTCGGGTCAAGTTTTTTTGGAGGATATGTTCGGGTCGGGGTCGGGTTTGAGTTTAGAGTGAAAAATATCTGACATGATCCGACCCGAAAAGTAATTTAAATTTATCTTATATATTTATGGATAATTACAATAATAACTCTTTATATATATATTTCAATTAGATCCTTATTTTTATTGAATAAAAATAACATTTTTATATATATTTATTTCGAGTCGAACCGAGTTCGTATTTTATATCAAAAAGTCGTCGGGTTCATATCAAGTGAAGTCACTCCTAAACTCGGTTTGGGTCGAGTTTCGGGTGGATGTTAAATATTTTGGGTCAGATCGAGTTGACCAAAACACAACTCAAATTTGATACATGCCCATCCCTAAATCTAACCCTATAAATAAAATAAAAACAATTAAATAATCAATAAAAAGAATTGAATATATGCTAAAATACAAAAAACCTAACATAAGAAAAAGGAAAATTCTATCACGCTCGATGAGCTGCAATGAGCACCACAAACGATAAGTATCATTAATTTAATTTATAAAATTTAAAATTCTAAAAGGCTAAACGTATAATTGTAAATTAGTTAAAAAATTAAAAGTAAATTATTTAAAATAAAGGGCAAACTATAATAGTGGTCACTTAATTATTGCCCCTTTTCATTTTGACCACTATTTTTGAAATTTTAACAATCATGTCACTCAACTATTGAAATTCATTCAATTAAGCCAATTGATGTTAATATTTAACGGAGAAGATGATGTGGAAGTTAAAATATTTGATATAATTACATATTTGGTCACTGTTACTTATATATTCTACTAATTTGATTCTAATTTTAATAAATTAAAATAAACTTAACCCTTCGACTTTGGCTTAGGAACCCCGACATAATATAAACTATCAATTTGGAACAAAAAAATTATGTTTTGAATTAAAAAGTTAAATTCATGTATCTAATTAGAGATTAAATGAAAATTAAGTATCACATTGATCATTAAAATCAAATTCAAGTATCAAATTAAAACTAAAAAAAATAAAAACACGTTACTCTATTGTATTTGTGCCTACTAACGCACTTGCATCCAAAAATTCATCTAAATAGCTCTACATCAAGCATATCAAAATGTAAAAATAAAAATAAAAAAATTATGAAGTCACTGTTATTGCATTGCATAACTTCAAAGTTCCAACATTGACACAGGTGAAGTTCAATGTTTAAAGACCAAAATAACTGCACAAACCTCAATATAAAAAATAAAAAATACAAAAAAAAAAACTCATCAACCTGTTGTGGCCTTGCTAGGAGCAGATTCCTACATTCAATTTCTATGTGCATTAATAAAAAAAAATTATATGTGTAGTTTATTCATTTCCCTTGTTCTTTTTAATAAAATAGTATCAAATTATACACGAGATTAAACACTGTGGGTGACAATATTTTTCATTTTAATATTTAAAATTATATTTTATTATGTAATCAAAATATATTTTTTGGTTAGGATTTTGCTTTTATTTATTTCTTTTTCCTTTTTAAAATTATTTAAATTGTTTTCTTCATTTTATTATGTCAAAATCATCAATAATTCCAATGTCGGCTCCTTTTACTCAGCAAAGGACGACTTTTACAATTATTGTTCAAAACAACCTATTTCCCAAATTAATTTCTCAAGATCTAATGTCGATTCCTTTTACCTAGCAAAGGATGACTTTTACCATTTTTGTTGCTATTAATAGATTTGAAGGTTAAATTTATTTTAATTTATTAAAATTAAGACCAAATTGATAGAATATATAAGTAATAGTGACCAAATATGTAATTATATCAAATATTTTAACTCCACATTAGCTTCTCCGTTAAATATTAACGACAAGTGGCTTAAATAAATGCATTTAAATAGTTGAGTGACTGATTGACAAAGTTTTAAAAATAATGGTCAAAATGGAAAGAGACAATAGTTAAGTAATCACTGTTATAGTTCATCCTTTATTTTAAATAATTTATCATTAATTTTTAATTAATTTATAATTATACGTTAAACCCTTAAAAATTTTAAATTTTATAAATTAAATTAATAATACTCATTGTTATCGTTAATTGTGCTCATCACCGTCCGTTGAGCACATAAGAATCCTCCTAACAAAAAACCAGATCGGTACATTATTATAATAGTAGAAAACAACATGAGGAAAGGGATACCTGTCATTACCGGACGTGTAAAAGATCAGATGTCAACTCTGTATTCAAATTCGGCATGGAAACCCTAAAGATCGATTCATTTAATAATGCCAGATTCAATTCAAATCCTCAACAACCAACCTACCCTCTTCAATGAAGCTCTGTCGTTTTCCATTACCCCCATCTCTATATAAACCCTAAACCCTTCCACCATTAAAACACACCCACCAGCAAAACGATCTCCTCTCATCTTCTAAACTCATTTACAGTTTGTGTTTAAAAAAAAAGAAATTCGTAATGGCTGGTCTCAAGCTTGTTTGTGCTCTATTGTTGTGCGTGTTGGTGGCTTCTCCGATCGCCACAACCGCCCTAACCTGCGGAGACGTGTCGACGAAGATGGCCGCCTGCGTACGATACTTGCAGAACGGAGGGGCCGTGCCGGTGCCATGCTGCAATGGGGTCCGAGGCCTGAACGGCATGGCTCGAACCACCCCGGACCGCCAAGCTGCATGCAGGTGCTTGCAGAACGCAGCTAGGTCGATCCCCAACATCAAGCCTCCATTGGCCGAGAGCCTCCCGGGCAAGTGCGGCGTCAGCATTCCTTACAAGATCAGCACCTCCACTAACTGCAACAGGTAAAGTTTCAATGGTATAACTACAGTTTTAGTCCCTTTAACTTTAATTTTTCACCATCTAATCCTTTTTTCTTGCCTTTTTCCTTGTAGTGTGAAGTGAGATGGATGAAGGCAAGGGGTTTAAAGAGGCATGCAGGAGCTATATATGTGTACCAGATAGAAGAAGTGTACGAATAAAGATTTTGGGTTGCTTCCAAAAATCTAAAAATTAGTCTTGTTTTGATTTTCCTGCATGTTGGTCTAATTATGTGGTTCATGTATTCGGATGTGTTGGTGTTTTATTAATGAATGTTAGTTCTTTCTTACATGGCACTTTGATTCTACTCAATAAAACAATATTCTATAATTAAAATGATCATTTTACATTTTTTAGTAGTCGATGGACTTAATAAAATAATATCCTATAGTCAGAGGACCGTTCATGTAATTTACTTTAAAACATAAAATCTACGTAATCACCTATTGATCTCCTACGTTTTATTAAGGGAAGAGATTATATTACTAAAATAAATGTCAGGATTTGAAATCACATAAGATGAGGTAACATTATTATCCTTTATCATTCGGTCAATTTAATGGCCTACATAGACCTCCTATGTTTATCCTTGCATACACTTCTTAACAGTTTTGGATCTAAAAACATTTTTTTTATAGAAGTGATTAATTTTATTTAAAATAGAAAATATCTCAAATTACAATAAAGATTTACAATCATAATCGTAAATTAAACACATAATTAAAAAAATTTCTTATAATTATTGAAACAAAACTAGCAACTTAAGATCACATAAGGACTATACAAGAAAAGATTAAATCTAACCAAGAAACTCGAACAAATATAGATACAAACAGATCTGATCGAATCGACAAACGAACTACAAAAGGGGATCAAGCTATTAAAAGACCACCGACAAACCATAAATCAGACTCGAACGATATGAAAAGCTATCCACGAACGCAAATCAAGTATTCAAATCCAATATGAGGGTGTAAAGCAAGATCATAAGATATCAGATTAGCGCCATTTTGATCAGTTGTGGCGATCTCAAATCAACCCTTAGAAAAAATAAATGAAAAAACAGCCAAAGAACCGAAAAATATACCAAAAAACATAAGAAAATGTGCCATAAAAGCAGATGAAAATGTGTCAAAAACATTTTTAAGAGTGAATATATATACCTATTAATAACATAATTTTTTTTGATTTGAGGTGGGCATAAATAAAATTCAAATTTGACATCATTAGTAAAATGAGTAATTAATATAAAAAAATTAAATTTCAAAATAAACACATATTTATCACGAAGAACACATATATCTGTCACTGCTTCTTAATTGGATTTTTATAATAGAACTGCTCTAATAGTCCACCGTTTGAATTAATTGTCCATCCATCGAAGCTATGTCTTATCAGTCCGTCCATTAAATTTTTAATGGATACTAAAATGAAACAAAAATTAACCGTTAAATATAATTTTAAAAAAAATTAAAAATTTAATATTAAACTGACAAAGGCTGACAATTTAGATATTAAATATGTAGTTTACCTAAAAAAAAAATATTCTCGAAAGGTGAATCGGCGCCTCATATTATCTATATCAGATCTTTGCCACTATCAAAACATCGAAAAGATTGACTCTTATCCCGGCTGAACACTGCACGCAGTAAAGACCATGCATATATATTTTAAATATATATTGTTTACACGTCATAATATGGCTGATTTCAATATCTATTATTATTATTATTATTATTATATGTTTTGATTCGATTTAAATACGTAAAAATATATATTATTATAGGAAAAAAATAATACGACTGCACGTGGAGAAGAGATCAGCTGTCAACTCTGCAATCAAAGCTGCATGCAGAAAAAGAGCATGGAGACCATGAGAGCAAGGATATGGTTCAACTAATACTTGCAGATTCAATTAAAAGCATCAACAACAACCAACCAACGAACCCTATTCAATCAACTCCATCCTACATTAACCCTAATCCCTTCCCCCATTGATTCACACCCAGCAGCTTTCATTTTCATCTACTATCTTGTAAACTTTTCTCCTTTGTTTTCTCTCTCGAGAAAATCCACATGGCTGGACTCAAGCTTGTTTGTGGTCTGGTGTTGTGCGTGTTGGTGGTTTCTCCGGTCGCCACAACCCCCTGACATGCGGAGACGTGTCGACGAAGATGGCCGCCTGCGTACTGTACTTGCAGAACGGGGGAGCCGCGTCGGTGCCTTGCTGCAATGGGGTCCGAGGCCTGAACGGCATGGCTCGAACCACCTCGGACCGTCAAAATGCATTCAGGTGCTTGCAGAACGCAGCTAGGTCCATCCTCAACATCAAGCCTCCGTTGGCCGAGAGCCTCCCGGGAAAATGCGGCGTCAGCATCCCTTACAAGATCAGCACCTCTGCTAACTGCAACAAGTAAAATTTATTTGTTTAATAACAGTTTTAGTCCTTCATACTTTGATTTTACATAATCTAATTCTTTTTTCACCTTTTTTCTTGTAGTGTGAAGTGAGATGGATGAAGGCATGCAGGAGCTATATATATATATATATATATATAGAAGACAGAAGAAGTGTATGAATAAAGATTTTGGGAGGTTTCCCAGATTCTAAAATCAGTCTCTACTTTGGTTTAGCGAGGCTTGTTTAATTTGTTTTATCCTTTGAGTTTTGCATGTTGGCTATAACCATGTGGTTCATGTATCGGCTGTGTTGTGTTTTATTATTGGACTTTTACGCTTTGTTAATCGGAATTTGGTTTATATCTGCATTTATACTTAATCCGAATTAGAACAGTATAAAATCATTATTAATATCTCAAAAACAAATTATAAACTATACAAATTATCATTAAATTAAGATTTATATTTGCATTTAAGAAAATAGAAGATAAAAGTAAAATATTTTGCTAATTTTATATTTGGATTTTATAAGTTTAAGAAATCTCACATAAAATTTTAAAAATAATAAAGCATTAATTAAAAAAATAAGGAGGAATTTACTTAATTTTTTTTATATTTAGAGTGAAAGTAAAAATTTAATTGAAAAGCATGATGCAATAATCCAAAAAATATTTAAAACTTTATTGAAGTTTATAAAAAAACAAAATAACATAAAATTATATGAAAATTTATATTTATATTTTATTTAAAAAGGTAATCCAATCATAATTGTACACATAATACTATCATCAATTAAATTACTCTTTTTAATCAATAATCAGTTGGTCTAGTGGGATGAGACACTAGATCCTTTAAGTAATGTTAGGAGTTCGAATCATGTCATTTACGAATGGAGCAAATTGGGTTGAGAGGGTTGCCCTCACTTCTGCAATACCCGATCTGGATTAGTCGGTCAATAGATCAGATACAGTAATTAATTAAAAAAAATTACTCTTTTTAAAAAGATGAATTTGCTCAATTTTAAAACTAACAAAAATTTAAAATATGTTTGTTAGACCTTCGTAAATTGTTTGGTTCCGCTAGAACTTTACATAGACTTCTTCGCTTATCAAAGCTTCTATACTTTTTCATCTCTGCATTTTGAATACTCTAAATTCATCTCTATACTTTTTTATCTTCATTCTAGAATGGTCCTTTAACTTTTTATTTTTTCAATTCTATCCTTAAACTTTTGGATGATTTTTGTATAACGATACCAGAACTTCTCAATTGGAAGGCTTTTCCGAACCGAAGGCGAAGAACACGAGCAGGCAGCAAAGGAGTGTTGGAAACCGTCGAGGAGCACGGGCCGATTGAAGGGAATAAATTCTTCGGAGGAGACGAGATAAACATGGCGGACATCGCATTTTGCTCCGTCGCTCACGGCTCGGAGTCGTCGAAGAATTTTCCGGCCTTACCACACAAGTTCCCTAAACTAAGCTCGTGGATCCAAAATTTCAAATCAGTCCCTGTGATCAAAGAGAACCTGCCTGATCGTGATAAGATGATCGCTTTGTTAAAGCGTCGGAGAGAGGAGACGTTGGCATCAAAATCCAACTAACGAATACGAACATTGAATCCATGCATGTGTTAAAATGTTCCCTGGTATAAATAAAGAGTTAATTGATGAGCCATATTTTAATTTGATCTTTAAATATTTTTATATGATTATATTCAAGGTTACTTAATCATGAATTTTTGCTATATATATATATATATATATATATATTATTTTTAAGGGTAAAGTACATAAATAGTCTCCGATTATAAGACATTGTTTTGTTAAGTCCCTCGTCTATTAAAAGTTTTAAAATAGTTTTCTGACTATATAGTGTTGCTTTGTTAAGTCATTCGACTATTAAAAGTTACAAAATGATCACCCGTCTATTCATTATCCTTCAAACTCGTCCTTTTTCATTAAAAGAATTGACGGTATTCTGAGTTGAACCTTAACCTGTTGATTGTGATATGATAAAATATGATCTCAGAATCTCAAACGACTATCATATCTCAGCCATCTTGTTGATATACAACTTAGATAATCACCAATTTATTTTTCGGAAAAGGACGAGTTTGTAATATAATAAACTGTCTGGTGACTATTTTATAATTTTTAATAGTCGAGGGACTTAACAAAGTAACATTCTTTAGTTGAGGGACTCTTTTTTAACTTTTAATAGTTGAGGAACTTAATAAAGTATTATCCTATAATCAAAGGATCATTTATGTGCTTTGCCATATTTTTAAAACATATAAAAAAGTTATTTAATTAAATTATTATTATTATAAATAAATCATTATGCGATTAAATTGTGAACGAAAAAGTGATGTGATATATTATAACAATAATTTTCATTATTAAAATTTATGTAATTTATCGATTTAATTTTTTTGAATTAATCGTTAGTATTCGGTCTATTGACTGACTAATCTAAATTCGGGTACTGCAGAGGCGAGATAACCCTCCCAATCCAGTTTGCTCAATTATCAAACGCCAGGATTCAAACCATTGATCTTATTTAAGTAACCTAGTGCCTCATCCCACTAGATCAACTGGTTGTTGGTTTCTTCGATTTAGTTTTAATATTAAATAATTTAATAAATTTAATTATAGAAATTGATTTTGAGGGGAGTAGGTTGGGAAAGCATGCGTAGTGGATAAGTTGGTGTTTGAAAATGATGTT